TTCGTTTCAAATGTATCCACATAATTTCATATCATAATATCATAGATCTTTGTTGAAAAAAACGGACATTTAAAATATAAAAGATTTAAAATGTTCAAATTAGAGAATTCCCGCCCCGGCGTAAGGATACTGTTTGTTCCAAGCGCAGAGGAGCGGCGTCGCCGGCGAAGCGGGAGACGGGTCACTCATCTCAACCGTTTTAGCAAATCAAGGACGTGGATGCGGAGCGGAAATATGCAGGTAAATTGCAGGTTTTTGCTTTCCTGTTGTATTTTGTGGCTGTCTAGCCGCAATTTTCACCTGAGGGAAAAATGAATGTCCTCACAGCCGATTTGGCACTAATTTTGAATAACATAATTCTGAATTTGCTTTCTGACATAAGTTGTTAGGTTCTGAAATATTGGCTTTCAGGCTTTGTACCACCAAATTTATTATGGCTGTCGTGATTAAAGTTAAAAATGAATGATAAATTTCAATTGTGGCATTACACAAATCTGCTTATGTGTTGCTAAGCCTTAAAACCAATCACACACTTTCATGTTGATCTTATGAATGTAGTGGCCAATCAGCGTTTAGATTAGTCATCGCGCCGGAGTTTTGAATTTCGCGCCCTGAATTCTGCACTCATAAACAACAATGCAGTGATGTTAATTAATATTCTACTATTAATATTCTAATTAAAATTCTACTCTACTTAAATTTAAAATTGCACTGCTATAACACTCTCAGAAATAAAGATACAAAAGCTGTCACTGGGGCGTTACCTTTTCAAAAGGTACACTTTTATGCCTTTTTGGTACAAATATGTACACTTTAGGTACTAATATGTACCTTTAAGGTGCCAATATGGACCCTTTAAGTACAAAAGTGTACCTTTTGAAAAGGTACCGCCCCAGTGACAGCTTTTGTATCTTTATTTCTGAGAGTGAAGGACACTAAAATAAAGTGTAACCCAAATATGCAGCTGCGCACGAGAAAGACCGTCTCTAGGAGTGTTATCAGTTTGTGTTGTTGTTTTTTTTGTGTGTGTGTGTTTCTAAATTGTGCAGTTTTTGAGACAGAATATATTTTAATATTATACTGTAAGTTCAGGTGAGTTTGTTGTTTTTGTGTTTCTTCATTGTGTCAGTGTGTCACATTTAGAAGAGCACTGATGTTTCTTAAAGGGATAGTTCACCCAAATATGAATAATCTGTGATCATTTACTCTCCCTCTTTTACTTGTTCCAAACCCATAAGACTTTCATTCATCTCTGGAACACAAATGAAGATATTTTTAGTGAAATCGGAGAGATTTCTTACCCTCCATTAATTAGGGTTGCAGCTGAACACTGCAGGGCTGCAGCTCTCCAGGACCGGAGTTCGCCACCCCTGGTCTATTCCCAAATCTTCATTCAAAAGATCATACAATGCCCTATTTAAGGGTATAGGGGGCGATTTCGGACACAGCCAGGGACTTTTTTTTGAGGGGGCAGGAGTGAAGGCGCCGGTGGGGGGGGATTGGTGGTAATGTTAATTGGTGGTGCTCATTGTCATGCTTGTCATGTGACACACAACAGCCATATCCTCCTGACTACCAGCTATGGAGTTTTGTCCACTGTAGAGGACATTATGTTTT